ACTGCCTATCCAGCTGCACTCATGTTGGAGTACAAAATGGCAATTTGATAGGCAGAGAGAACAACAAAGCAAGTTGTCCCAGTCTATTGGGGGTGGGGCAAAGAGAGGCAAGGGAGAAGGATGCATTGGCTAGGCCAAATCATGTTCCTCCCTCTAGAAGGCACAGAGAAAAATGAAAGTCAGGTATTTCTCCTTTGTCTTACTTCTAAAATAAAATAGAACTTGATCCCTGGGTAGGTATAAAAGTGTTGAATACCACCACCCCCTCACTACCCAAGCAATGGTGTTGTGGTTACTTTCTCATTGCTGGGACAAAGTACCTGACACCCACAAATTAAAGCGGGAAAGGTTTATTTTGGCTCATAGTTTGCAGAGGTTTCAGTCCATAGTCAGCTGGCTCTAAGGCAGGGTGGCATGGCAGAGGGGCATCACAAAAGAACAACTGTTCATGATATGGCAGGAGGAAGGCAGTAAGCAGCAACGGCAGCACCACTTCCTTTCCCTTTTTAGTTTGTTTATTCAGAGGCAGGAGAAATAAAAATAACCAGCAGAAGGTCTCAGCTTCCAGTACAATAGAATTATTGTTGTGTTTTCTGATACAAGCCTTCTGTAGTCTAGAACTAAGACTTCTAGGCCAGCAGAGCATAAGGCCATAGGAACAGAAAACAAAGATTTGCTAGTGGACCCTAGGGGTAATGGCGAGTGGTACCATTCTCACTTCCACCCCTTGATTTCTGGACCTATAAATCCTGGCTATGGGAGATACAGTACCTGTGTTAGTTACTTTTCTCTCGTTGCTGGGACAAAATACCCAACATCCAAAGTTAAAGGAGAAAGGCTAGTTTGCAGAAGTTTCAGTCCATAATCAGCTGGCTCTAAGGCAGAGTGGCACAAGGCAGAGGAGCATTGCAGAGAAGAAACAGTTCATGGCCCCCACATGGTAGCAAAAGCAACAAGGGAGAAGACAAGCCTCTTTCTGTCCCTTATATTGTATCCAGGCTACCGGGATTAGGGTGGTGTCAAACCAATTACTGTACTGATTTAGTAATCACACACCTTTACTCCCAGTATCATACACTCTCAATTCAGCCACCTATGACTGCATGAGGCTTTGGGGGGACATATAGACCTGAACTATAACAGTATCATATAGTGGATGCTGATTCAAAGCATATAGCCCTTTAAAGAACTTTGCCCTACTTCTAGTACCAAAATCTGTGTCAGTCAGTGCTTAATAGAGAAACTGATTTAATGCAAGATATATAAATGTATAAAGATTTACAAGATAGGCTTACAATGGCCACCCATAGAATCATGTATGGAAGAGTGCAAAAGGGATATCTGTCCACTAGAGATCCAAAGGATCCAGTCAAAGATCAAAGGCCTGGAGCTCACTGTAGGGTCCTGTGTGAGTCTCTATCAGGAGGCTGAAGAGTCCATGGTGGAAGCCAGGAGACAATCTCCAAGGTGAAGGGGAAGACTGGGGCTCCTCCAAAGAAACAGAAGCGAGTCTTCCTTCTTTGTTTTCCTTTTATTCCTTTCAGGCTATGAGCCACTCACACCCAGGTTGGGTCTACTGTCTTCAGTAAATACCTTCAGCCACACCCAGAACTATGCTAATCCTATTTAGATAGGTGTTTCTTACTCAAATTGAGGCAATCAGTTGCTTGTCACAAATGGAGATTGAACCCAGGGATTTTCTTACTGAGCTACATCCCCAGCCCTTTTATTATTTTCAGACAAGCTTTCACAAAGTTGCTAAGTTACCCGGGCTGGGCCCAAGCCTTGTGATGATTCTACTTCAGTCCCCTGGAGTGCTGGGTTTACAGGGGTGTGCTGCCATGCTGTGCTGACTCTGAGTCTTGTGAATTATTTTGTTTGAGTGGTAAGAAGATGGCAGAACCACCTACCAGAAAGAATTGTTTACTCTGTACACACCACAAATGGGTAATATGAGGACTAAAATCTTTCTTGAGTGCTCTTGTCTACTCTTGTGTAGAGCTGAACCAGCTTAGGGAAGTGGGCCCTTTCTGTCATTCACCTAAGGCACAGCATGTGCCACTGGGAAAGAGACTGAGGAGGAATGGGTTGGAGCACTGTGAGAACTTGGGGTTTGGTTTTAGGCATGTTATCTTTGCATTTCTGAGGGACATTTGGCTGGGAAAGCAAGTTGACAGTGGGAAATGTGGATTTGACATCAGAAGAAGGATGGTGGGAAGAGAGAAGAATTGAAGCAATAGTCAGAGAATAGGTGATAATTGAAGTTATTCACATGATTAAGGTCATGGGGATGGGCATGTAGAACACGAGGCAAGGATGACCTAACTCAGTGATAGCGAACCTTTTAGAGAAAAGTGCTCAAACTGCAACCCAAACCCCACTTATTTATTGCAATTGCAAAGTGCTAGCACTGCAATTAAACTGGAATTCTTAGGTTTTAGTCTAGAAAAAACAAGTCATTCATTGACATCTTTTGTCTTAAAAAGAAAAATAACATGCATGCCCTAGGTTCACCACCACTGACTGAAGATGACAGTAAAAGGAGAGGGATGAGTGGAGTAGCAAGAAATATCCCAAGACAGAAAGAAAGCCAGGGAGAGCAGCAACACAGGTGCTGTGGGAAGAGAGAATTTCAAGAAGATAATGGCTTCAAGGGTTCTACCCAACCTCTCTTCCAGACGGTTTAAGAGTTTCTGTCTTAATATTTAGATCTTTAATCCACATGTGTAAATACTGAATAGTTTCTCTAGTGCGAGAAACTGAAAGTGTAAATAAGGATCAAAATGTCTAAGAGATAATGTGAAATAGGAAGAAAAGGTCCAAAGGGGAAGGGGAAATGGGAGGGGTAGGGGAAAGGAAAGAAGGGAAAGGAATAAATATGAGAAAAGGAAAAAATGGAAGCAAAGTCTATGTAAATAGAGAGGGGTGGAAGGGTTGAAGGGAGGGCAGGGGGAAAAAAAGAACCAAGATATATTATGTAAAGGTACAAATTCCCAATAATGAATGTCAGCATATTTTATACCTAAAATATACCAATTAAATTAATTTTTAAAAAAGAGAAGTGAATGGTTGATGGGGAAAGAACAAGTAAATGAGATGAAAAATTCTCTGCATGATTTGGAATTAGGAAATCATTAAGCTCCATAGGAAGAATTGTTTCAATAGAGAGCAGATATTTGATTAAATGATAAAGAATGAAACGGAGGTAAGAAAATCAAAATTGGAAATTCCGAACATATATATTTTGCTAAGGAATTTACACAAAAAGGGAAGGATAAAGATTAAGGCCATATGGATCCTTTCAGTACCCCTTGGAATTTCGCTGAACAAATGTTGAATTCCTCGTGGCCTAGTGTTCCAGGTTTATCTCCCCTTATGTGTGAATCAGACTTCCTGTCCTCTCTGTTCACTTCCCTATTTGGTTGCTTCACTGCATTTGTTCATATTCCCCAAATTGAAGGCATTTTCCAGATGCGCACACAACAGGATTTTGTGCAAAGATTGAAGAGTACTTTCCATTTGTTTCTAGTTCTCATTTTAATGATAGCCAGAACTTATTTTTCCTTTTCACTTCAGCAACACATTGGCTGCACATCTTTGGGATACTTTCAATGCAATGTATCCTTCTCCGGAATTTGCATACATGTACTTTGTACATAAAAGACACTGAATATTTATTATTAGTACAAATCACGCCAGAGGCTACATGTTTGTAGGCAATTTTTGTTCTTTTTTCTTCAAGTGCATTTCCCTGCATTATCTATCCTGAAGGTCAAATGTCACTTGTCCCACACAGACTCAGTTGTTCACCTCAGTGTATCATAAAACTACCTTGAAATGTCTAATGTCTTTGCAACCCAAAAGATATTTCTCTTTTTTGGCATTACCTCTTCCCATCACTTAGAAAATGTGTTAAGTGACACTTTTTTTTTCCTGAAGACTGTGCTGTTTATGAATATTTATCCAGAAAAGCACTCACCCCTAAACTTTGACTTTCTCAAAATCACTATCACTTAATGAAATAGTTCCCTCAATGGGTTTCCACCCCAACCAAGCCTGACAATGTTCAATATTACCTTTGAAACGGAACTTTGTTGAAGGATTTTAAAAAATGGAAATAAGGTGAGTTCCATGTAATCTCATATTTTCATGCCTACCACCTCCATCCAAGCAGTGTGGTGCCTCTATCAGGAATAATTTCCTCTTGTAGAAAGTGTAATGTTGTACTTGTGACATGTGCTGAAATGTTTAGTGATTCTACAGTTAATGGTATTCTAATTTGCTCAGTTTTCTGAGGTCTGTCTGCCAGAGATGCCCGTTTTGGTCAGTGTGTACACAATTCCAACTATAAATTTCCTCAAAATGCTTGGATGGGTGCCCATGATTTATTTATTTCCATTTGCCAATTAGGCCTAGAGAGTCATGCTAATAGACTCCCTAGGAAAAGGGCAGAAAGAAATCTTGAAGGGAAAGAGCTGAATGAAAAAAGGAAAACCTTTCTGCATTCTAACTTTAGAGTATGTCAATCACCATTTTTGTTTTATCTCAATTAACTTTATCCTTCAGAATTCATCTAGTCTCCAAAGAAATTTCATAGCCTGAAGAATTCTTCTATTTGTCTGGACTTTCAAAGTTCTTGTGCAGTGTATCGTCCATGTGATCGGGGAATCTGAGCATATCGGTAGTTCATTATTATGATGGCGCTCGTGGGCGTCAGGAACGATAATGTCTGTATTTAATGGTATTTGTAGCTTGCCCCTGGCTTGCAATTACCTGCCAAGTGTAGTGGCTGGATTGAAAGCATGATTGCAGCAGCCCGTTTTAAGAGATATCCTACTGGCTCCTTGATAATTTGACCCAAAGTAGTACTGTGCGTGTGTGTGTGTGTGTGTGTGTGTGTGTGTGTGTACACATCATTTCCTTATTCCTCCTAAGCCATAAGAGGAAACTTCCCAGGATTTGAACAATTCAAATTATAAATTCTTTCAATATTGGCCTTATTCAACCAGGTGAATATTCTTTATAAAACAGCCATTCCTTGAGCTCACACCCCAGGTAAGAGACCTGGTCTGTGGAGAACGTGCTGAGTTTGCAAGTGACCGTGAGAGCACAGGACTGGTGGTCTTGGGAGAGGTTTATTGTCCACGGGGCTGAGCGTCTGACAGGAGCAGCTGCAGATTCAGTCATTTGGCATTTATTCCTCTAAGGTAAGTGGAGGCACAGCTGCTATCTTCTTATACCCTTTAAAAAAATCAATGCACAGGTTTGAGAACCACACAACATTATGCACAACATTGAAATCTGAAATATTGATATTGCATTTACAGAGCTGAATGTGAACAAAGCAGTATACAAGGCAGGACTTCAGGTTTCCACTGCCATGCAAATGCAAAGACATAAACAATAGCAGCAAAAACCCATGTGAATACATAAAGATCAAACCAAAGAAGCTATGTTTCTGAATGGAGCAGTAAAAACCTTATGGCCATTGTTCTCTGATGTTTTGCTTTAACAGTTTCAGTTATTTTATTTCCACTTAGAATAGAAATTAATTAAAATGTGTGCCAGTTATTAACTGTTCATATGTTACAAAGAACTCTTTGGTTTTATATAGTTTTCTTATTGTCAAATTAATGTATATTCACTGTAGAAAAAATTGCATAGCAGGAATAAGAAAAATAAAAAGAATATAAATATCTAACATTTATATTGCTTCTGCTGCTCACTAGGCACTGTTATCATATGATATACATTATCTAATTTAATTTTCAGAGCAGTGTTAGGAGGTAGGTTGTTACCTACCCTCATTTTACTGATAAGGAAACTGAGGCACAGAGAGGTTAGATAACTTGCCAAAGGTCCAAAAACAGTCTGGCTTCAAAGTATGCTGTTTGCCCCATTGTGTTACTTCTCTCTTAACTATCCACAATACCCCTCTCTTAGGGTTAACTTATAATTCACCTTAGAGGACAGCATTCTAGACCTTTTTTCTATTAATATAAAAAATGAATGTATGATTCACTTGTATATCATATGTATTTTTTGCTATGGATGTCAACATAGGTACTTTCATTTTTTTTCTGTGAGGAAACAAACTTAGAGGGACTGGGTGACTTGCCCAAAATCTCATGCCTTTGATGATGTGTGAAACTGTTTTCAGGTATAGTACCTCCATCAGCAGAAGTCTTTTCTCCCCAATAAGCTGCCTTATTGCTCTTTCAATTTTGACTCTGAGGAAAGCAGATTATCTTGTCATTGTGTGATGTGTCCCCAGGTTGAGGGAAACTAGATGGTACAGTGATGCCTTCAAAGCCCCCCCATGCAAGGCCTGCCTTAGCAGGGCGAGAACCTATCCCCCACATCTGCAGTGCTGACAACTACATCTAGCTGTCCTTTAAAGAGCTGCCTTTGGCCATAGCACCATCTTGGAGTCTGCACCTAGAAAACCAGGCACACAGGGAGAAAACCAAACTCAGGACACATAGGGAGCTCTGATGTTGACAGCATTACAATGTGTGGAACAAACTCAGCACTGCACTGAGGCAAGAGCCCTACAGCCATTTTCATAATTTTTACCACACAATATGTCTTGAATCAATACAGATATTTTCTTCCAAAAAGATCTGTGACTATTTTTTTCAAAATGTTTTATTAAAATATTCTGTTAAGATGACGTATATGAACCAAAGAAAGTCTTAAAACCATTTCAAACATTTAATTCAGGGTCATTTCTCATGTTTCCTTATTTCCAAGCTTTAATACTTTTCTATTTCAAATCAATTACTTTCTATTCATTCTTTAAGCACACATATTTCAGAGTTATAACAGAAGAATAGCTATGAATAACTACCCTGCCCTCTTCTTTAATTTCACAGTATCTCCCATCCGCCTTCCATCTTCCTCGCTGAAATTTCCTTTGTTCCATCACCATAATTTTACAGTTAGCTTTCTCCTACCAACTTCTGGTACTCCTAGTTATTAATGCATTCTCTGTTGTAGCCATCTCACTTTGTCCTCTCTTCTAAACACTTCACTTCTACCCAACCTTTCTTCCTTTCATGCATATGTACAAAATCAAAAAAATTAGCTGATTCTTAAATAGAGTCACCATCATCATTAATAACTCTGGCTTCCTGAGAGTTGCTGATAGAACTATTAGGTGGAAAAGGACCTGGAAATGTTTGAGTAATACTGTGATTTTTCACAAGTGGAGATCATGTGACCGTGCAATTTAATGGTATTTGATCTTGAATTTCTATTTCCATACCCACTGCAGTGGATTCATCATCTTTTATTTATATTAGTGCATGAGCCTCTGAACTGACTTGTTTGGCTTCCTTCTTACCCAGATTAACCCATCCTCTATAGGGCTGCTAGGAAAACCTTCTTAAACCTCAGTCTCACCATAGCACAGCCCTGCTTGAAAACCTTTTTCTGGCTCCCCATTGCCTATGGAATGTTGTGCTGGAAACACTTAAGAATAATCTAGGCAACTCTTAATATTTTATTTTAGTAAAAGTACAAATAAGGTCTCTGGCTCACCCCTCTTTTCACTTTCAATACCATCCCATTACAAGGCTCCAAGTAGCAATACGTGTAAACATCCAGCTTATAAACAACTTTGTCCATAATTATCTAACCTCCACTTCCAGTTACCTGACTGTTCTTGGGACTAGGGATGTCTTGGTCACTTTCCATGTCACTGGGACAAAATATCCAACACCCACAGCTTAAAAGAGGAGAGGTTTATTTGGCTCACTTTTTGGGAGTTTCAGTCCATGTTTGGCAGGCTTAAATACAAAAACAGTATGGTGGAAGGGCCTGGATGGAGGAAATCTGCTCACATCATGGCAGTTAGGAAACAGAGCGAATGAAGCTAGGAGCCAGGAAGGGAGATATACACTTCCAGGTCACACCCCAGTGACCCACCTCTTCTGACCATCTCTGAACAGGGAGTCAGTTATAATGCTTCCATAATTCAATCACCTTCCAAATACGTGAGGTTTTGGGGGCCATTTTATATCAAAATCAGAACAAGAGAAAGTGACTAGTGCCTTGAAAGACTGTGTATCAGTCTTATGAAATCTTTTATTTAAGTTAGAAATATAGAGTTTTTCATGTGAAACTGTTAAATTTGAAATAGTGACAACTAATTAAAATAAAAAGAAAAAAATACTGCTGTCAAAATCAAGCTCCATCACAGTTTCAGTTTGGTCTGTGTATGTTTTACAGTTTGGGTTGGGCTATACCCTCTTCTGCAGCTCTGTGAATTTTCACTTTCTTCAAACATAGACTCAGATTTTACCTCCCTGGGGTCAGCCTTCCTGGATCACCCCAACCCATATACCTTTTTCTTTCCCTCTTCCTTCTCCTCCTCTTTTCTTCTTCCCTCTCCTCCATCTCTTCCTTCTCATCCTTCCCTTCCTTCCTACCTCCCTTGCCCTCTTGTTTTATTGACACAGGGCCTCACTATGTGGCCCAGGCTGCCCTACAGTTCATGATCCACCTGCTTCAGTCTCCAAGTGCTGGGATCACAGGTGTGTGCCACCATGCCTGGCTGCATTGTCCTTTCTCTGAACTGTCCTAATACTTATGATCCATCCTACTAATTTGACAGCTTTTGAAATTCTCTTATTGTATCTACTGGCAATTGAATTGCCAAGGAGGGGTACTGTCATATTTTTGTTTATCCCATAGAGCCTAATAGACTCAAGTGGTAGATTATAATAAATGACTATTTGTTAAATCAAAAACAAATTAAAACAATATTTTATAAAGCTTTAAAAGTGGGCAAACTTTGTAACACAAATTTAATTTCTAGAAATTTCTCCTAGGAATAAAGATTATAGATTGTGCAAAGATGTGTGTATATAACAAGATATTTGTTATAGTATTACTTGTTAAAATGACAAGTTGGGACCAACCTAAGTATTTATCAGAGGAGCTAAATAAATTAAACTTGTAATATTCAGTGTGATTGGTTGAATGTCTCTTAAGTCCTTTCATCTATAGTTTGCTCCTCCACCTCTTTTTTTAAAAATCCTGCTTTTATTGTTGTTGTTTGCTTGTTTGTTTTGCAAAGAAAATAGGAAGTTTGTCTCACACTTGCTCAGAGTCTGGGTTTTGCTGAGTGAATCCCCTTGCCATTTAACATGTTCCTTTGTCTCTGTGTTTCCTGTAACTTGTGGTTATGGACTCCCTCAGAACAGCATTGACATTTTGGCAAGACTGTGTATTTCATGACTGAACTCCCCAAATCTCAGCAGCCTACTGCAACCAGGACTATTTCTTGCTCATAAGATTTGCAGCTCAGCTCTGGCTCTGGTGCAGGCTATGGGATGTGTTCAGGTGTTCTCTATGTATCTTTGCAATGGGGAACTGGACATGAAGAAGCAGATACTTCACGGTCAAGGGCAAAAGATGAATGAGGGAAGAGCCAAATTACACAGCTACATTTAAAGCTTTTCTTTGAAAGTGGCATATGCCAGGCTTGCTCACATTCCATTATTCAAAGGTCATCTACAGCCATGTTCAAAGTCAGTGAAGCATGCCAAGGAAGCACAGCAAAGTTGGAGAGGAGCTGAATAATTACAAGCAAAATGACACTGGGTAGTTTATTTTCTTCTTTTTTTTGTTTTTTGAGCTGCAAAATGGTGTCCTAATCCTACCATTTTTCTACTTTTACAAGCAGGAATATTAAATAAAGAGTATATTTGCTACATTAACTATTTGTATCTTAAGACATAATTTATAAAGGAAGCCCAAGATGAATATTTGATACTTTCTCCTTAATTGCTTGTTACCAAAATAATAATTTTATTCTTTTGAAGTGACCCATGAGTACTTTGAAGTGTGTGCAGAAGTTATTGTGAACACATGGATTTACACATATTTGATATACTTTAATCTGCTGAAGTTATCTTTTTTGATATTAAATGACCATATTTTGATGAATGGGAACAAACTCAAATTCTTGAATCCTTTTGACATGTTCTTGCACACTTTGTTTTTGCTTACTGGTGTAAGATGTTCCAGGCTTATGTTGTTTATTTCTTGTCTCAAATATGGAATCTGACATTTCTCCACAAAACCCTATTTATTCACAGTGGAATGTAGTATTGAGTGTATAACGATGGCTGGAAATGTGTTCTTCGCTACTAGGCTAATGCTTGTTTCTAGCCCTTTTCATTGTACAGAGCTTAAAAAGAGTGTTTTTCTTCTTCTTTCAGATAAAACTAAATTCATAGCAATAATTTTGTGAGTTCATATTGTGAGTTAATTTGAATCATTGCTAAACTCAGAGTTTTTGCCTAATCTCTCACACATCAAAATTCTGATCTTAATTCCCACAGCAAAAAAATTCCCACAGACAACCTGGAAAAAGTAAATAGTGACTGTACATTTGATGATATTGATTTATTAGTAATTTTTCAGAGGTGATAATATAAGATATGATCATAGTATATGATGAATATTTCAAATTTTAAAAAATTACAGTAAAAACACATTACCATTAACTTCTCTCAAAATTCCACCCCCCTCACTTAGAACACACTTATCCCATTGTTCCTACCATTTCCCAAAGCAGCTCTGGAAGTCTTCTTTCACACGTGTCTTTATTTGAGCTGTTGTGACTGCTTCAAATGACCTGAACTGATTTTTTAAAAAATCTACCTTTCATGGTCATTTTGACTTTGAGGAAGAGCCAGAAGTTGCATGGTGCCAGACCTGGTGAATAAAGTGAATTAGGACACATTGTAATTTGGGGGGGGGGTACCAGGGATTGAACTCAGGACCTTGTGCTTGCAACGCAGGCAGGGGAACCACTGAGCTAAACCCCCAGCCCCATGCTGTAATTTTTTTTACAAACCTCCCTTTTCATTGAATGCTTCTCTGGTGCTGTTTTTGTTTGTTTGCTTTGTTTTGTTTTTCTTTATTTTTTTGTCACACCTCATAAAGGCTGAAAGAAGACTTCCAAAACTACTTCAAAAAATGGCAAGAATGATGGACTGTGTTCAAAGTGAGGGGGAGTATTTTGAGGGGTATTCATGGCAGTGTGTAATAAATTTTTAAAAATTTAACCATTCATTATTTAGTTTGATCACATCACATATTATTACAACTGTATTTCTGAGAAGTATTCCACATCTTACAGAGATAAGTGGAAAGTAAAATGTTTATAGATACAATTCTGTGGTACCTGGGATTTGTTTCAAAACAATCCTAGGAGTTAGGTGAGAGAAGTAGACATAGTACAGGTTAAAGAGAATGGCCATGAGTTGATAATTGTTGAATCTGGGTGGTGATCATATGAGGTTCATTATTCTAGTCTTTATTTTTATATGTTTGAAATATTTAATAATACCTTTTCAAAAAGATGCACTGGAAGAACATTAAGTGACATGGAACAATATTCACAGTATATAGCTAAATGAAAAAGGTAGGTATGCTACTTCTGAAAAATAAGCCCAAATTTGTAGAAGAAAAACAAATGTAAATTGTATGGATAAGACCACAAGAACTAATAATCTTAGATGACAAATGATCCTCTTACAGATTTTCATTTTAGTCTTTGTGTATATTCCAAATTTTCAATGTGAACATAGTCAAACAAAAATATAAATGGTATTGACAGTGACTCCTCCTCCCCTTCCTTGTTTATATGCCATTAGGATAATGCTACCTCCCATTCTGAAGCTGTTAGCAAGTGCTGCCACCCTGGAGCTGCCTGCCAGTCTGTGTGCTCTGTCCTCCTCTGTCATTTTCCTTCCTTCCTGCTGCATCTGCCCTGCCTTTGGTTATCCTCACCTTTCTCCAATTGCGGGTGCTCAGAGTCATGAACATCAAGACCTTAACTCAGAGAGGAAAATAATACTACCCCCTGCTTAATTCTTCTTCTGTGTTCCCTGACTGGTTTAATAAAAAAAAAAGTTTTCAATGTCTAATTTTCTTCCTTAGAGCTTATACCTTTCATCAATAATATTAATAGGAACGCATGGTATTTGTAGAGGTTTGGCTGAGTGTCCAGTACTTTGCTAATTACTTGACATACATGAACTTTTTTAGCCCTCAAAGCAGCCTTCGGATTTAAGAATTATCCTAATTCTTACAAGAAAGTTCCAACATAACAATTTCTGTACATACCTGAAGGGATGCAGCTAGGGGGGTGTTGCACAACATGGCCAGTGACACTTCAAGCATGAGGTGAAGTTGGCTCAAATTTTTGTCTATCTGGGTCCAAAGTTCACTGTTTCCTAGCGTGCCCCTTTGCCTTCCTTAAAAAGAGAAGAAGGGGGGAAGTCTCAAATTACCCTAACACAGAGATCTGTAAAATTTTCTACAAGATTCAAGAAGGTATTGGTGTTGTATCTCATTATTCTGTGTATTTCACACTAGCCCTATAAACTAGTTCTTTTGTTCTTGGCTTCATTTTCATAAAAGCAGAATTCAAAATGCATGGTAATAAAACTTGAAGATAAACAGTCTTATGAGGAAGGATACAGAGAACCAACTGTCCTCGGCAGAAGGGATTGGGCCTCTAGTCCAGTGAACATCAACAGGGCGGAAAGAAGAAGAAGAAAAAATTAAACCCCAGCAAGAAAGGAAACCCTCAAGTCCCAGTGTTCTACCTATATCGGGGATTCTAAGAGCACATGCAGGGACTAAAATACAACCTTTTCAAGACAATGTCATCAACCTTAACATTCTGAGGAAGGTCACTTTTGGCATAGTATTCTTCCATGAAAACATATTCCCCCAAGTTATAAAAATAAATACAAAGTCTCCAAAACACATAAAACAGGCTTTTTATAAATTAAAACCCAAACTAAATAATGTATCTTTTGAAAGCCCTTTGACAAGAAGTTGAATTTATCTTTGTGTTTCCCTTTTCACCTTTTGGGACAGTCTGCTTCCCCATCTGATATCTCAATACTGCCTTGATCCTATTGTCCATGGCCAGCCCCTGTGCAGCCCCCTTCCTGGGATGCAGGGAGCCTTCCGGGCAGAAAGATTTTCCTCCTTATCACATCACACCTTTCCTTCATAAACAAATCTGGTGGCTGTGGGACCCTGCTGCCATATTCCATCATCAGAGAATCTAACAAACCATAAGGACTTTGCCAAGAAGTTAACCTGCCTAAGGAAAATGTTTGCATTTGTACAAGAAGTCTTTGCAAGAAACACATTAAGTCAAGGGAAAGTATTTAGTCATGGAAATTCTGGACTGTGGGAAAAGTTGAAACAAGGGATGGTTATGTACAGCCTTATGGACTCATCAAATCACACTGAGTCTGAAGCCCAGACCAGTAGTCACAGCACTGTATTCCCCTCTTTGTGCCATTTTCCACTGTGGGGTGTCTGTGCCCACTTACTTGGAATTTTAATATTACTCTTCCTCCTGGAATGAGGAATCTAGTCTTTCCTTTCATCAAGACCAATGATTGTTTCTTGAATATGTTTCTGTATCTTTCTCCTGTAGCAAATGGCCACCAGCCTTTCAGGATGCTTAAATCCTTAAGCAATATTGAAAAGAAGCTGAAGAGGAGGGACCCAGCATCTCCTGCAAGTGTTTGGAAGGTCAAGGTCTCACAGGATGCATGGGAAGTATTACAAAAGAGCTAACTCTGTATTATTTATAGCCCATTATGCACTTAGAGAATTGTGGACAATTCATTTCACTGTACTGGTTCAGGTACCCTCAGCTTTCCTTTTTGTTGTTGTTTTTTTTCTGTTTTCATTGAGTTTTAGGAAAAACTGTCCTCAGCTACTGCTGACCTTCACCAATTCTTGTTTGTAATAAAAATTCTAGATCTCAGAGTGTGCAGAGATGATAAACAGTAGCACCCTGTTCCCTGGAGGGAAGCTAGACAAAGTGCATTCCTAGTGAGGTGCCCCATGTGTCTATCACATACTCTGCGTATTGCAGGGTAGCACAGGACAGGCCCTATTACTCCTTTTTAACTGCTTTCACATCTTCATATCAGCAAGAAATATGGTCTGCTCAGGTAATGGTGTTCTGACTGAGGAGATCAGATCATTTCATGGAGAAATGGAGAACCCAGGTCCTGGCCTTCTCAATCTCTAACTTATTATTTGTGTGGGGATTATGGAGTGCTAAGCAACTAGGGAGAGCCTGTCTATGTGGGTTTGCACCAGAGTCACATACTCTGCTTCAAAATGAGCTGTTTCAGAAACTTGTCACAAAACAGCCATGAATAGTCCTTCCTGTAACAAGCGTAACCATCGCATTCCCCACACCCCAGTTGACATATTTTATCATAAAGATGACTACACTGTGAGCCTGAATGAGAGAAAGGACACATGGCCCTATCTTACTCTGCCTAACATTCCTTCACATGTCCTTGGGTCCAAGCCACTCCCTCCTTCCAACACCCACTTTCCGCTTTTAAAACAGTTGTCCCTACTCTATGTGCAGACCTTCTTTGTGTCTCACCACTGCTTTACAGTATATTCATTAGACTTTCTTTTCTGTGCTTTACTTTTATTTAAATACTTTTTTTTTTTTTACTGCCAATACTACCAGCTTCTGATACACCATGTTGTATGGCAGGGATGGAGCCTACACTGCAGTTCAATTTAAGTAACCCAGTTTAATAATCTTTCTCTTGGGCTGGGGATTTAGCCCAGTGGTTTCACCGCCTGCTGCGCAAGCACAAGGACCAGAGTTCGATCCCCAGTACCAAAAAAAAAAAAAAAAGTAATCTTTCTCTTGAATTCCATGCATTAAGGTTGTATCCAGGGCCAATTTTTGACAAAACAGTAGTAGGAAATTTCTCCCATATCTTCTTCTAATCCTTTTTTTCCCCTTAAAACTACACCAAGTTCCACAAACCTCTTTTTTCTCTACTTTTAATGTATCTGAACTCTAGAAAGGATCTGAGATCTATTCACCATATGGTGAAAATGGCTACTAATAGGTGATACCTCCTGGCTTTTCACTGAAGGCTGTGATCCTTACTGGATAAAAAAAAACAAAAAAACCCAGTTTCTGAGGTTGCCCCCCCGGCCCCATGCACACATACCGTGTATCTACATGGTGATCTTGATCCCACAGGGGATTGTAATGCTAGTGGTCATCCTGGGAAAATCCACTGGAAAGTAAAAGATAGGAAGCACTAAAGATGTTACTGCAGGGAGGCGGATATGGTTGCGGATACTGTAAGAGCCAGGCCTCTCTGGGCCCACTGTTTCCCTTTCACAACTTGTTGTGGCTTAATGTCTCTCAAAATATATGTTGAAATCCTAACCCCAAGAGCCTGTGAATATGACTTTATTTGCAAATAGGATCTTTGCAGATATAATCAAGTTGAGATGAGGTTGCACCAGAGAGTGTGCCCTGATCCAAAACGGCTGGTGTCCTTTATGAGAAGAAGAGACTGACACACAGGGAAGACAGTGTGAAGACACATGGGGACAGTCATGCGATGTCAGAGGCAGAGAATGGAGTGCTGCTAGATGAACATGACCCTGCTGACCCCTTGATTTTGGACTTCTAGCTGGAGAGCTAGGAGACAATACATGAGCCATCTATTTTGGAGTACTTTGTTATGGAGCTCCAGCAAACTAAGGTCCTCTCCCCATGTCCCCTCTTCAACCCCACCCCCCAAGTCATAAAGTGCTCACCTCTCCCACTCCTGCTGAATGCTGGCCTTGCTGGTGAGTTGACAGTGGGGTTATCTTCTTTTCTTCATCATGCCTGGGTTGCTTCCTGAATTTTCAGAGAAAAACAAACATGATGTGGGCATATTTAGGCACCTTTAGGATTAGACCAAGGGCCCAGCAGCTGTGTGGTGAATCAGAAGAGAAACTAAGTAAAGCTCCGACATCAATCCTAAATTGTGCTTCTCTGGAGCTAAAGAAAATGGACTTTTTGACTAGAGGCAGGGCCCAAGCAGAGTTTTGCATCCCTGCCAATTCCCTGTGGTCCGTTTTTTTTTTTTTTTTTTTGGTACGGAGGATTGAACTCAGGACCTTTGTGCTTGCGAGGCAGATGACGGTCCCTGTGGTATTGTCTTTATTGCCTTGGAGTCTGAATTCCCTCCAGTGCTGTGAACACTGTGTCATGAAGTCCTGACTTTCTGTCCAGAGAGAGAAGAAATGGAATGAGACATAGGTAGTGGGCGGGCTCTCCAAGTGTCTCCACATTAAAAGAGGATCCTGGAGGAGAGCTGGTGACTACCTTGATTGCTCCACAATTCCTGAAGTCTGTCTTGTCTCACTTCATTCTCTGACACACTTCCAGTAGGAACATGATGCTATACTGTACAATGTCCTGGAAGAGATACTAATAGGAAACTATCATTTAACAAATGCCATACACTCTAGATCTATTGTTTGGCATCATCACAGTAACATGGAAAGAAAGACACAATCCCTGATTTATAGGATAGGCTCAGAGAGAGTACAGAGTTTGCTCAAGTTCACCAAGTTGTGGACACGGAACAAGCCATCAAGGCCAAACACAAGTGCATTTCCACTAGACACAAACCACTTATCCACAGAGACAAATACATTTTCAGCTGGCCTTGGGCCACAGAATTCTTTAGTAATCATAGTCCCTTTGAGTTAGGATAGTTAGCTGTCTGGAGGCTTAGATCTTTCTTTGTATCTCTCATAGCCATTTTAGGTAGTCTGTGCATTTTTGTTGAGAAATGTGTACACAGAACAAAATAAAGCAGAAACAATAGAAAGTTTCCACATTACTTCAAAAGTTTTTGATAGTTGCACTTCATTAAATTCCAATTTGCATTTTATTTCAAAAGCCCTTGCTGTACCTGCAGTATTCTTGCCTAAAGCAATTCCAAAGATCAACAATATTTAGACTTTAGTGAGTAGTAAGGTGACAATGATCCAAATCCAAATGTTATGTTTTGAGGTGCTGAAGAGGTGATTTCTAGGTCCTTTCTGTTCTGGACAAAGAATTGAAGGAAACAAGCATAAATGGTGGCAAAGTTTTACATTTATTAAAGGTAAGAAAAAAAGAGTAAAGGAAATATAGGCTCTGCAGAGCAAGTATTGCACTGAAGAAAAAGGGAGGAAAAAATAAAAATAAAGATACACCCTACAGTGTAGGGCGGGCTACTGTGAAGAGATAGTGCTTAATGACAATGGTCTCTTTTTCATGTTTCCCACCTCGGCACCATGTCTAGGTCATCCTGTCAAAACCTTGCTTGATTTCTCTCAAGAAGTCCACTTGCAGGGTTCTGAGAATTCTGCTCTGTGTCCCAGGATCTCCTTTCCCAGCTAGTTTTAGCCACACCCTATCTTCCTGTCTCATCACGAAGTATCTAGGTGCATCTCACTTCTTTAAATGTGTAAGGATCGCTGGTTAAGAAGAAAGTTTGTATTGCACCTAAATTTGTGAATAATATGTGATCAACATTTTAGATTTTTGAAAATGTATTCCTAAGCTGTGAGGCTGTTTAGCAATTAAGCATATGTGGAAACTGTCAATTTTGGTTCAGATGAGAGAGAGAAGGTTAAACCAAGGGGATTAGATAAAAATGTTATTTTTTTTTCATTGCTAGGGATTGAACATAGGGCCTCGTGTTTGCCTTGACCGTTGCTACTGAGATACAACCCTGACCCCTTACTTGATTGTAAGAGTGAATATTTAAAACTTTTCACATGAAGGTCAGTTGTAGAGATGGCAATGACATGTGGTTTTCTATTTTCCCTGAGTCTGTAACTGAATAGTGTTGTGCAAAAGTTCAGCTAGTCATGAAGTAGAACAGTGGTCAGCAACATTTTTTTGTAAAGGGTCAGAGAGTAAATGTTCCAGCCTTTCCAACTCCTCAGCTCTGTCATTTTAGCAGGAAAACCAGCATAGACATTGCACAAATGAATGGGTAGCTGTGTTTTCTGTGTTCCACTAAAACCTTATTTGCAAAAATAGTGGACTGGACTCAATCTGTAGGCTATGTTCTGCTGATTGCTGGTATAGAGCATTGTATTCATCAGTTATCCCTCACTACAACAAAACACTTGAGATGGTGAAACATACAGAAAAGAGATTTATTTAGCTTCCAGTTTTGGAGGTTTGGGGACATGGCACTTGCATTGGGTGGGCCCCTAGTGAAGACCTTATGCTTGGTGGCATCTCAGTGGTAGGAGCACATGCAAGAGGGAGGGATCACTTGTCAAGGCAATAAGCCAGAGAGAGACTGGGGAGGCACCAGTCTCAAGAATTAGCTGGGATCCAGTGAGAACTGCTCACCTCTTTCTGAGTTCAGCCCTAATGCCCTCCTCCTAGGCTCCATCTCTCACATCCCAGCATCCCTCAGTATCATGACTGACAGCCACACTTCTAACACATGAACTTTTGAGGCCACACTCATATCCAAGCCACAGCAAGTATCCAGGGGGAAAAGTTATCTAAACATTGGAATAGTTGGCTGAGGTGCTTCATTGTTGGAGGTTTTTAAAAACAGAATAGGCAGTTACCTATTTGGCTTAGCTTACATACTGATTCCTCCACATTCACCATTGGTATAGCTTTAATTCAGAAAGCTCTGCATACTACATATAGTAGTTCTTGTGGGACACAGCAGTTCCTCTGACATGTAGGCTCTTATGTTGAGTGCTGTTACATAGCTAGCAGACACCAAAACCTCTTTTCCTTTGAGCATCATTCAAACCCCAGGAAATAATTCTCTTCAGGTTTTGCCCTGTCTTCTAAACCAAAGACTGCATCTGAATGCTATGCAAGACACACCACAGAGAGCAGGAGGATTTGAGCCTTGTGAGCCCTTTGGTAAGATAAATGGAAATGAATTAACTCGTCAAATCTTTTCTCTCAGCTAGCAAAAGTGCAATAGATTCTCGCACAAAGAATCCTCTGCCAGTAGACCTGAATGTCTACTTTCCCACTTCTTTCTGTGTTCCACCTAATCTATGATCCATCATGAATAATGTGGCATCCACAGCATTTGCAATAGTGACTTAGAAATACTTTGCAATGTTAAATGGTGTTCTAATAACATTTAAATGTGTAGAGAAGTATAAATATATATATGTAGGTCTAGATATAACATGCAAGAATCATGACACTGACTCACATTGGTAATTAGACATCAAATATTAGATATGTGAATATTTTATTACAAATAAATTTGATAAAAGATAATTACATTTTTGAAATCAGATAATTTGTGTTCCATATACATTATTATTTGAAATATGTTGTGCACTGAATAATTCATAGTCTTCCTTTTAATTTTAATGGATATTTTTCAATGTGTTTGAGAAAAATAAACTTTTTGGAACACACATTAAAAAACCTTTTGATTTGCCAATATTTTACATAAACTTTTTATATTTTTATGAATATATATTCAGTGTTTTAACCCATTGCCAATTATTATCAATTATGTGTCAACTCACAACAATTTGTATTTTTCTATATTAAATGTTATTCAATTTTATGAATCAAGTAAATGATGACTTGTGAATTATATATGTCTTGATTTTATTACTTATCCATCGATAGTAAACAATCATATATAAAAATGATCAAATGTGGTCATATTTTTCAAATTTTTTATTATAAAAGCTGTACTTTTATTTTTATTTTTTGGTACCAGGGATCGAACTCTGGTCCTTGGGCTTGTGGAGCAGGCAGGAGAACCACTGAACTAAATCCCCAGCCAGAAGCTGTACTTTTAAAGGCAGGAAGATAGAATATATTTATTGAACGATTTGATTGCATATGGTAGTAGATCTCCATTTGACTCTTGCTCCAATCTCCACAAACATTTAGCTTGTACCTAATCATTGTGTCTCAAGTCATTATCTTTTAGGGAAATAAAGATTGTTTTGATTGATTGAGAGATGACCCAAAATTCCCTTTTGTTTTTTCCTCTAGTTAAAAATTATTTTAAGCTTGGGCCAGGGATGTAGCTCAGTGGTTCCGCTGCCTGCCTCGCAAGTGCAAGAACCCGAGTTTGATCCCTGGTACCAAAAAATAAAAATTATTTTAAGCTTTCCTCAGTTTGACAACCTCCTACTTGCAATTTCAAACTACTTAAGTCTCCGGGAAAAAAAAGTTTCCTTTCTAAAACATAAATTTTTTGCCAAATTCATTGGGTAGCAAAACCTAACTTGTTCAACATAAGGTTATTTATAGCTTTTCTGCATATCATCTATATTCAAATGTTCACTTAGGAGTTTGACTCCTGAGTCTTCCCCAGACCCTGCTTGGGGGGTTATGGAATATGCTATTCATGCATTAGCTTTTTAAAATCTGCAACCATATGAATCTGAAACATATCTGCTCCAAAAGTTTGTATATCTCAGTAGAAGAAAAAAATTGAAAAAAAGAGCATTTTGTTTGATAACACAGTAGGTTACCTTAGAAGAGAAGCACGGTATAAACAATAATTCTTACTGCTTATATTGCAGGGAATTTTTTGCTGAAGGTATACCACAAACACGATCATTTTTAAAAGGTAAGTCCTAAAACAACTTGTTTTAATCTGACTTGACATTTTTCATAAAGCTGAGCTTGCAAAATAATCATAGTCAGTTGATATAATTATTGAACTGATTTTAATATACTCTTGATTTTTTTTCTTGGTACCCAAGATCGAACTCAGAACCTTGCCCTTGCGAGGCAGGCACAGTACCACTGAGCTAAAACCTGGCCCTAATACACTCTAATTTTTATCATTTTTGTTGTTGCTGTTTTCTTGATTCAGAGTATTTTTATTTATTTTGGGCTGACCTTGAACTCACTATATAGCCCAGGCTGGTCTTAGACTCAGTGAACCTCTGCCTCAGCCTTCCAAGTGCTGAGATTATAGACGCCACCACACCTGCTTGATTTTCATCATTGGACTTACTTTCTAGGATTTGGCCATACACTGTTTCATGTTGCTTTTGTTGTCATGGTTAACAGCCAGAGGCATCTGAAAAATGGAGACAAAGGCATTTTCTATAGTACATTATTGTCTGAATGTTAGGCCATAGGACCCTTTCAAAGTTCTTTTTGGGTGCCCACATGAATCTCTATTCAGGGAAGGGAAGGACCTAGCTCTAAAAGTAGTCTGATAATTTGGGAGATTACAGCTACAACCAGGGAAAGAATGACTGAATTCTTTTATTTTTACAGGAGTAAAGAGCTTAGGAGAATTACCACAACTCTGGCAGTGACAGGTTGGTTATCTTCTGGGAAGCTTTTAAAAAAACACGAGTGTCTAGAGCCCATCCCAGGTCTGTTGCATCAGAATCTTCCAGGGGTATTAGTCCTTTGGGACTACTATAACAAAATACATTAGACTG